CGATGGAGAGAGATGGCACAGCGATGAAGAGAGATCGCGCAGCAGATGGCCCAACGAATCAGCGATAGCGATGGCCAGCGCTGCGATGGGATAACACTGGCCAGGGCTTTGATAGTGATGACCAGCGCTGTGGTGGAGAGCGATGGCGCAGCGATGGAACGGGCTACAATGGCCAGCGCTGCAATGGCGGCGATAACGATGGCCACCGCTGCGATGAGAGCGATAGCGATTGTTAGCACTGCGATAGTCAGGCGAGCGCGACGGCGGCGAAGGGGGATATAGCTTTGCATCGCGATGGCGATGAGCTAAGCGCATCCATGGCGATGAGCTAAGCGCATCGATGGCGATGGTGCATGGCGAGCGTTGGAATGGATTGCAGACTCCGCATATCCAACGCCATTGCCATTTGCAAAACATCCCAATGACTGCGAAACCGAAACTTATAGATTTCCGGTGTTGACCTCGGCGCACAACGAATTGCCACGCCTCGGCACTCAATGAACCGTCGCCTGGCCTCGGCGTGCAACGAACCGCCTCCCCGGACTCCTGCGCCTGACCTCGTGCGTCAGATCATGCCGATCGACGGTCCATACTACAACTGCGAAAATGACCTTGCCTGCCCCTTGTTTTCTAGAACTGTCATATGATTGCACGCCGCAGTTGACGGAAATTTTGGGGCCTCTGGCATGTCAGTGGCTCCGTTCATCTGCGTCGTTGAAAATTGTTGATCGACGGCCGACAATTTCCGGTGCCTCTGACCTTTCGAGGCCCAAGCTGCCCTTACCCATTTATAGGCTCTTTCGTCTTATGGGCCCAGGCGTGCGATATGCGAATCGATACGGCCCAACCTTGATCCCAACGCGAGGCCTGCTGCAGGAAAGTATAAAAGGCGTTGCCGCGCTCGTGTTATCCCTTTTGTTGCCGCTCCACAGGTCAAGTCGCGCTATTGCTTCCGCGCGCGTTCTGATATTTTGTCTTCCACCCCCACCTCCTTCCGCCATAGCTTGTTCCCTCTTCGCTCTTCGCTCCGTCCGCAGTTGCCTTATTGTGTTCGGTTCGCTCTCCGTAGCTCGCTCTTCGTGGCCAGATTTCCATTCGCCATAATCGGTTCACTCTTCGTAGCTCGATATCCCTCCATCATAGCTGGTGCAGTGGTCGTACATCCATATCCGTCCGACGTTGGTCGCTTGCTCAACGCACGACGAAGGTAAGATTCTGTAACTTCAGTTGTCCTATTCTGTGTCCGATGTCCGAACAGATTCCGAGATGCCCTGTCTCTACCTGTAGGGTATAACGCCGCAGTTGCCGCATGTTGAACCCTGAATCAATTCCCGGTTTTGTTGTTTCGCCACTGGATGTGTTTTGATGTCTTTTCTTCACCCTCCACCTCCGTCCGCCATAGCCGATCCGCGTTTCGTAGCTCGATTACCTTTCGCCATAGCCATGATAACATTTGTATAAAGCTGCTTGATTCCCTTCGCAGCTTATAGTCGTCACTGCACATGGTGAGCCCTGAATTAACACCCAGTTTTTGTTGAACACCGAATCAATTCCCAATTTTCGCTCACGTATCCCTTGTAAGGTCGCTGACCTGACATATATATATATATATATATATATATATATATATATATATATATATATATATATATATATATATATATATTCTCGTCAGTGCCGCTTCTAGAAGACGAATCAATTCGCGGTTTTGTTCATCCATCCCAGCGAGGCCGGAAGTGATCCACAACTGTGAGTCAGTTCGCAGTTTGCGACCTACACTACTGGAGGAATCACAACTGCGAGTTAATTTGCAGTTTTCCCAAGATTAAACACCTTTTTCGTTAAAGTCAGTTCTTTATTTGCACAACTGCGAGTCAGTTCGCACTTTATGACCAACACTGCTAGAGGAGCTGTTGTCCTCCGTCTTCGGAATTCGGAGTTAGTTCGCACTTGTAGACACCCATGTTGTGCATCTTTCAGGTCTTCATTTCCACAACTCCGAGTTAGTTCGCACTTTTCCCAAGATAAGCCGCCTTTTCTTAAACGTGACTTTCACGTTTCCAGAACTGCGGGTTGCAATTGTTGTCTTGTCTCCAGAATTGCGAGTTAGTTCGCACTTGTCGATACCCTTCGCACTTGTCGATACCCGCGCGGTACTTGTTGCAGCGGCTTAATTCCCAGAACTCCGAGTTAGTTCGCACTTTCCCGAACAAAAACCACATGTTACTCTTTTGGAGGGCGGCGAGTCGGGTCGCAATCTTTCCGAAGAGTTGTTGTCTTCCCTCTGAACTCAGTCTGCCAGAGGAGTGTTGTCTTTCCTCAACTTTACCCAATTGTTTTGACTTCGTTTGCATTTCAAACACCAATCTCGTGCGTCGGTTTCCTTGTCCCCAGACCTGCGAGTCGGTTCCCGCTTGTCGATACCCATGCGGTACTTGTTGTAAACGACTTCATTCCCAGAACTCCGAGTTAGTTCGCACTTTCCTGAAGATAAACCACCTTTTCCTCGTTTCTAGGACAGCGAATTTATTTGCGCTCTTTCTGAGGAGTTGTTGTCCTCCCTCCGAACTCACTCTGCCAGAGGAGTGTTGTCTTTTCTCTCCTTTACCCAATTGTTGTGACTTCGTGTGCATTTCGAACACCCATCTCTTACGTCGTTTTCGTCCTCCATTTCAACAAGTCCGAGTTAATTCGCATTTCGCTTCTATAGTGTTAGGAAAACCTCGTTGCTTTCCTCCCGGTCATCCGATTTGGTCCGGGGTTGGCGTGTTGGTCTAGGGGTGGGAGCAAAATGGCGTTCGCGAAGAACATAACCACAAGCGCTGGGTCGTCTGCCCCGGGGGAGGGACGACCTCTTCATCAATCTCCTCCTCCGTATTTCCATGCAAGGGATGCACAATGGTTTTTGGACTTCGTTGTTCAGGGGAACCTTGTTGGGCTAGCTGTTTTCATGCGACCCATATGCGTTCCTGGCGCGGAGGGAGCGGACGACGTTATTCCTCTCGATACCATCGTCTCGTACGACAAGATTCCTGGAGGTTTGCTAAAACTGCACACTAACCTCTTCTACGATGAGTTCAGACTGCCTTTTAGAGGTGTTAAGGGTGTGATAGTGGCTTTCAAGAGTTTCGCGGGTTACGGATCGAACATGCCGTTGTGTCGTCACTTCCCAGGGCTTTACGATGGCTACAGCAAGCGTCTTCCGCCGTCAGTGGAATACCTCGATCTCGCGCTGAAGGTGCCGAAAGGATGTTCGGTTCTTCCGCGAGAATATGTTTTCCGGCTTCAGACGGCCCATGAGGGGTCGCCCCACTTAGCTCAAGAAAACCCTGAGCCGCCAGTGGGGCACGGGAGTGAGATTCACGGCAGTGGGGGTCAGGGAAAGGGGCACGCATGCAGCATTAAAACGCAGGTCGGCCCGGATGCTTCTGGGAATACGTCAGACTTGCGTTCTCCAGATGCAGGGACTCTACGGGTCGATACTCCGAAAATCCTCAAGGTCTTCTGCCATGGCGACACGTATTCGCTTCGAGATGAGACGAGAAGAGAATCCGGCAGATCGAGGCAAGAGGTTTGAGGGAATCAGGTTGAAGGGATGGACGCAGTCCGCGACAGCTCTGGCGGGGAACCGACTTCTTCGGAAAAGAAACCCGAGCGACAGAGGATGGTGCGAGAAGAGGTGGCGGAAGAAAGCCCCCGCATGAAGAGAATGAAAGGACACTCGAAGCCGATGATTGGCGGGGATGGAGGTGACGGCGGAGAACGTGCCTCAGAAAAGAGGACGCCAGGGATGCGTGGCACACAAGAACAAGGAGTCGAAAAGAGGCTGTCGAAGGAAGAGGGTGCAACGACAAGTAAGAAAGCGAGAAGGACTGACGGTTTGACCATCCGCGAAGGACAAGCTATGGGTGGAGGAGATTCGACTCATCCAGGCATTGCCACCGCGAAAGAACCTTCAGAGAAATCCAAGAGGAAACTGGCAGCTGAAGAAGGCGATGGCTAGAAGAAACCTCGGAGGAGGAAGACTGCTGAGGCGGCGAGCGGTGATGAATGGGCTGTTGGTGGGCGGTACGACGAAGCGGCAACGTTCTGGCTCGAATATGAGCGGAACAATGACGGTGATATCGTGGAGAAGTAGCTCCCCGTTCAACTGCTCATCGACCCCAGGAAGGGCTGCGACATCCCGCCGTGGGAAAGATATTACAACCACCGCAGTCTCTGTCACGATGGTGTGGAGGACATCAAGGAAGCGATGCTAAGGCAATTCTACGAGGAAAAGGGGAAGATCTGGACTAAAAACCCTTCAGTTTAGGCACCCGTCTACAAGCCGGTGACACATAGGCCGAAGAAAGCCGAGAGGGTTCACAAACATGTCTTCAAGCCAAAGGACAAGGACAAGTACTTCTATTACCTTGTCAACGGACAACACACCGTGGCTGCTGTGAAGGAGTTGGACAGTGAGCCAATATTCGAATTGTGGAAGATTTACTCGTGGCCGGCGAGAGTCATCTAGTTTTCCGACGAAGACTTTGGGGGGTATTTGCAGGTCAGTCTCACGGAGAACACAAGATACAAGATGTCTAAGCAGTGTGCACAGAAGGCCGCTTTCGAGGACATGCGGGAGGCATGGGAGAATAAAGGAAGGCTGGTGGCCATTCAAGGGAACCCTTCCGGCAAGGAAGCCAAAAAACAAGCGTTTTTCGAGTTCCAAAAGCTGCTTTTGGGAAAGAGTCCGAACGGGGCACACCGGACGATGACATGCAAAGCGACAACACCCGCCGACAAGGAGCATGTCGCTGCCATTGGCAATGCATTGAGGCAGTGGATGGCGCTCGTGATGGCCGATGATGACGTTTTCCGCAAAGGCATGGAGTTCTACGAGAAATAGGCCGAGGGGAAGTTGTTGGGCGGCGATGGAAGGATGCCCTTGTCGAAGTCGGGCAAATACATGCCAGACAAATCTCCGGGTCTTCAAGCAATTTCGGAAATGGGCTCTAAAGGGGCAGCTGGTGAAACGAAGATGGGGTGGCTGGTCCCAGTTCCGCCGCCTCCGACCAAAAAGAAAACGCAAGCGGACGACAAGTTCTTCATCGTCGTGAGAGAGTCAGACATGTTCTGTTGGCAGTGTCTCACCGATATGACCGATGCCGAAAAACTGTCGATCATCGACGACATTCTCGCCTTTAGGGGAGTGTTCGTGCAATCTGCAGGCGGGCATCTCAAACGTCAACATAAGCCTGGAATTAAAGACATGGTCATGACGAGGAAAGTGGACCGCATGATGGTCCGCATGCTTCACTACATCTTGTTCCTTGAAACAGAGGAGGACGCAGAGGTTTGGCGCTACGGGAGCCTTTTTTTCCGGACCAAGGGGCAGCTTCTGGCAGAGTTCGGGCCGCAGGGCCTCACGAAACAGGTGTGGGTCGAACTGCGAAAGCATTTTCAGGGTGCGGTGGAGTATGTGAAGACTTGCAAACGTAATCTTCCGCTCGAGAAGGAGTCCCTCGACGACACGAAGAGAATGTACGAGGATGACAGGTTCCCTAAATCTTTCGAAAAGTCCGTCCGTTCCATCTTACGACGGACGAAAAAAGAAGTTAGAGACACGATCAGGATCAGCGGGGATGTGAGGCACATCAAATGGGACAAGCTCAACCGGGTGACCAGCCTTATTCCTTTCAGTTGCCCACCTTCCCAAGCCCACAGTCGTCTCACTGAGATCCGCGTGATTGTGCGACATTACGTGTGCAACCTGTACGTTCTCGATTTGTGTGATCCCACATTCCTCTTAGACTGGTGAGAAGACGATTTCGCCTTCTTGCAAGGTGTTGTCCAAACACTGTGGCCAATGCACTGGGCACTTGTTGTCTTCTTCCGCTCTCGTTGGGAGCTCAGTTTCTTGAAAGGCATGGCCAGGCTTAGCGTCCATCATGTCAGGACAGGGAAGTGGGTGCGCCATGCACAAAGGAAGGCCACTGTCCGGGAAGGCAATATGCTGGTTGAGGAGTGTGATCGCCTATATGTGATTTTCAATGGCGAGAACCTGGCAGACAACACAGTCGCACTCTTCCCGACCATTAGCCCGACAAAGTCTCCCCGTGCTCATGGTCCAAGTCCGGGCAAACACGAGGTGGCGGCCCGCTCGAAAGCTGTCTGTTCGTCGGACCCATCAGAACAGGTTGTGGCCTATTTCGGCGTGGCGGACGAGGACTGGTTTCCTCGTAGCCAGTGGGAGGACGGCGGCGTGATAAATGTTCGTGGACCTGCTTACGGGGACAGGGAGCGGAACCCGTCCGATCTACTTGGTCTACTCGAAAAGTTTTGCAGAGTTGGGCAAATTGTTTTTTTCTTTGGGAAGGCGCATGCATCTGTCGTGTGGGAGCTCCTGCGCAACGTTCGGGATGTCGTCGCGTTGGAGGACAAGGCGAACATGATCGATTACCTTAACGAGTTCGTGAAGACACGCGCGGCAGACCCTCGCAATAATTGCTCTTTTGCCAAGACCACCGACGAACGGAACTGGGATCCCAAACGTGACATCTATTGGAAATTGTCGGGGAACAAAAGGATGAAGGTTTGGGACTTCCTTTTCCAAACCGGACCGCCTGCTCAGACCGACCTCGAATACAATCGACGGAGAAACCTGGTGTTCGGTGTGCTGAATGGGTACCACGATGCACCCAGGGAGTCTGTCTCGAATTTCCTAAGAAAGCTGGACAACGTTTTCTTCTTGATGGCCGAACCGCTCACCCTCGAAAACTACAAGGCGAAGTTTGACGAGGAAGACCCTTTCGACGCGGAAGACATAGAGGAGCTGAGCAACTCCGAAACCTTCGATTTCGAGTCCATGCCACTTCCTCGGGTGGTTGGACAGGTTGGTGATGAAGGGGAAGGTGGTCCTCGGAGATATAGCACGTTCCCTGCCGGTTTGAAGCGTGTGTTTGAGCGCGAAAGAGTTGACGACCAATCGTCTGATGACGGGAAGGAAGAGAGAGACTATGATTACGAACCTTGTGACAAGCTCCCTGGGGACCATGATACCGAGGAGAATGACAGACTCTTCTTCTTCGACAAGCATCACCGGTTCACGCCGGAGGATGTCTGGGGACACAACGTCGTCTGACACCCGAGGATATTCCAACCTGCTGTAAAGAATGGAAAGTGGGTCATGACAATGAAGGATGCCGATGGCAAGTGGAGTGACATGAACAGACTGGGAGCGGGTCCATTTAAGAAAAAGGCGAGAGATGCTCTGGTGGAGCATTTGAGTCTTATGAACCCCGAAAGGAGCTTCTCGGACGTCACTGCGTATGCAGGCCGGAAACTCTACGAGTTGTATGATGACAATATGTTGGAGTTTCGAGCGCCTTTCTACACACTCGAAACGACACCGTCTCGTGGCATTGACTGGCGCATGCCACAACCTCCGTCGGGCGATCAGCATCCGGGAAGGGGTGGCGGAGGAGACCAAGGAGACGGCGGAGGTGACGGAGGAGACGGCTCACAATTTCTCGGAAAGGGGTCGGGCGAAACATCGTCGGGAGAAAAGGCGTCTGGCGGAAAGGGGTCAGGCGGAAAGGGGTCGGGCGGAAAGGGGTCGGCTGGAAAGGGGTCGGGCGGGAAGGGGTCGGGCTGGAAGGGGTCGGGCGGAAAGCGTAGAACGTCCAGGAGCCCCCAGTATAGGGAAACTGACAGCCACTGCGTAGAGAGTCAAGATTCCGATATGCGAGACGTGGCCACCCTCAGGTCTAGTCAAGTGCGAGTAGATTCACATTTGTCTCCGAGGACTTTGTTTCCCGATGCCGAGGAGAGTCCGTTCCGCCGTGCGCAGTAGAGGTCTCCTGTGCACAACACCTTGCTCCTGGAAGAGGGCGAACATTTACAGCATACGGCGGCATCTCCTGAGCGGCGAAACTTTTCCTTGATAGGAATTGCGTCTTCGTTTTGCCTGGAGGGCGGGATGCCTGCATTGCGAACGAGCGAAGGTGCGACCATCAGTTCCCTCACCTCCGGCGAGCGCCACAAACTTCGAATAGATTCGGAGTCCCTAACGTCGCCCTGGAGGCCTTCCGCCAGAAGTGCTCCTCACGCTACAGTTCCGCGGGGCCAAGAAAATGTGACGTCCTACCCCCCGCATCTTCAGTTGGGCACAGGGTTCCCCTGGTCACCTCCGTTCTCATATGGTGAGACTCGAGACTGGCGGTTTCGCGACGTTCTGGAGGGGCCCGCTGCAGGAGTGTTGGAGACCGGTGGTGGTGAGTACGGACGTCATGCTTCGGAGGGTGTACCAGTCGACGTTGAAAGCAAGAGTACAGCGGCTCCTGGGAAGAGGAGCGCTCTCCGGGAGCACATGCTGTACAGCGGGAAGACGAGACTCAACACTGGCAGTCTCGCAAAGGGTTGGAGACCTGGGGTAACGAGCGTGAATGTCATGCTTCGGAGGGTGCGTCCATGGACACTGACAACAAGAGTACAGCAGCTCCGGGGGAAACGCATGCTCTGCAGCGGGAAGAGGACACTCAACACTGGCCAGCTCGCGAGGTCGTGAAGGGGCTCGACGCAGGAGTGCTGGTGATCGGGACGTCCGAAGAGATTCTGCACAGTCGTTCGGTTGTGGCCACGACGCGTGAGGGTGTCGTTAAGGAAGGTCAGTGGACGTTCGTGGACGCTCGCCTTCTTGGCGATGAGGAAGGCGAAGAAGAACCCGTGGTGGAAGCTCGGGTTCATGGCGATGAGAAAGGCGGAGAACCCGTGGTGGGAGGCGCTGAGGTGACGGTCGGCATCCAGATGGATCCACAACGGAAAAATGATGATTCTTCGCCCACCCGTTGCGGTGAAGAACAGGGCGATCGAGCCTATGTCCTCAGTACCGGTTGGGAAATAGTGCTTCATGAAGCCACCGAGTTGGGTAACGACTCGGCTGTCACCGAGCTGGTTAGCGACTCAGGCGTGGCCGAGGTGCAGAACGTCGAATCCTCTGTGGAAGGCGGTGAGGTGGCCATCAGCATCAAGATGGGTCCAGAGAGGAAAGATCATGATTCTCCGTCCACCCGTTGCGGTGAAGAACAGGGTGATCGAGTGTCTATCCTCAGTACCGGTCGGGAAATGGTGCTTCATGAAGCCATCAAGTTGCATAGCGACTCAGCTGCCACCGAGTTGGTTAGCAACTCAGCCATGGCCGAGGTGCAGAACGTCGAATCCTCCGTGGACGTTGGCGCAGTGGCGCGACAGGAGGGCGATTTCCCTCAAAGGGCTCCCGAGCATGGTAAGATTTGTGAATAGTAGCACTCACATATCTATCACTAGCCAACTCTGTGCTCGTCCGAATTGATGTGATGGGCTCATGTACCTATTACCACTTGTTGAAAAAAAGTTTGTGAGTTGTGGGTTGTTTTCTATGTTTTACAGGTGTGAGGTTGTCAATGTCCCTGCCCATGAAGCCTTTAAAAACCGTGCGCGAGAAATGTCTTTCAGGGAGGTCATTGGCCGCTTTACCAAAGAAGTCGTCAAGTGTAGGGTTGTTTAAAATGGTCAAGATACCTCGCCTTTCCCAGAGAGCTGTCAGGGTTCTGAAGGCTTGTAGAATAGATAAGGAGGACGCTTTGCGGAAACATTTGGTTGTGTTTATTGAAAGCATTACTGCTTTGTCTGATGGGTCTGATGACGATGTCAAACGGGGTATCTTGAAAGACCCGTATCCTAAGTACATCGCCAAGGACACATTCAACAGTTAGGGATACAACTTTTCTGGAAAAAGGGCAGACAGATCTTAGCCATTTCGCCCCAGGGATTTTGGTCACTCCTCACACTTCTTCATGGGTGTTTGTGCAGCTGGGGCTACATCATGTTTTCGCGTTTCTTTGCCTACTTAGAAGCTTAGCGCTACGGACTTGAGAATGTTGCAGGACGTCTGCGAAGATTTCAGCCAACGGCCACGACGTGGTTTCCTCGGTTCGCAATGGGGCCAGTTCAATTCCGTTGACCAGAAAAAATCTTCAAACTCTTGTCCAGGGGGGATGGCTTTCCGACGAGGTGGTGGAGTCGTACTTGGTCTTGCTTGGCAACTTTGCGTTGCCTGGGTGTCCCTCTCTTTACAATTTCAGTTCCTTTTTCTATACCAAGCTCGTCGGTGGCGGCTATCGACATGAAAGGGTTGCGAGATGGACAAAAGATGTCAATATTTTCTCGTACGACATGGTCTTGATTCCTGTCCATAAAAATCGAGTGCATTGGACCCTATTATGTGTCCACGAACAACGGCTGGAGTACTACGACTCCCTCCTACAAGACGATCACAGTTTTTCTTCCAATGCGCTTGCGAACTTCACGAAATACCTCCGTGACGAACCAGTTTGTCGATATGGTCAAAATACCAAACAAGATCTCCCGGTGCCCAAGGTGGTTCCTCATGGTGTCCCTCAACAGTCGAACGGGTCGAGCTGCGGTGTTTTCATGCTCGCCTTCGCTTCTTTTCTTGCACGCGGGCATCCGCCACCATTTCCGATAGCCCAAAGCGACATTCGAAACATCAGACTGAGGATTGCGGTGGAGATAGTTCAAGGCTCGAAATAACACCCTTGTTTTTAAAATACGCGAAGTTTTTTATTCGAAAGGCCATAAGCAGAAGTGCGAATCTGTTCGCACTTGGTCTAACAGTCGCCAGGTTCGAGCTGTGCTGTTATTTTGATGAGGTAACGAATTGCAGTGGACGTCTTGATCAAGTAAACGGTTAGGTGTCGATGTGAATATCCCAGCCTCGTGCTCCAACATTTTTTAAGGGTTCTTTATTAAGAGGAACCTGTCAACTTTGCTCGTTGGACTTTTGGCAGCGTCGTGCTGCCTTTGTTTGTTTTCAGGTTGTTCTCATTCCTTGCCACGCACCTAGAGGGTTGCATCGGACTCTTAGGTGAAGTAGACGACTAGATGTCGATGTAAATATCCCGTCCACGTGGTGCAGTATCTTTTAAGCAGACGCTTAGATATCGGATGTGAATATCCCAGCTTTGTGCTGCCTTCGTTTGTTTTCGGGTTGTTCTCCTTATGTCCTCTACGATAGCGGCAGCGCTGTGCTACCTTTATTTGTTTCCAGGTTGTGCTCATGTGTTACTCATGGGACATCTTCATCCTCTTGTGGACATTTTTCACACTCATGCTCGTAGGACTCGATACTCTGGTTCATTTAGCAAGATGTTGGTGAAAGATATCAATGATTTTCTTTCGGTCGTCACATTGTTTCGTGTTTATCTATGTTTTGAGCGAGACTGTGTGGTGTGAAAGCCCACTCCCCCCCCCGACCCCGAGCACCCACCTTTCACATATTTTGACTCGCCCCTATTCTGCACGTACCGCCCCGTTTTACGGTTCACCCCCTCTCCTGTGCCCTGCTCCCCGCAACCACCATCCTTCTTTTCTCCACTGAATGCTGATTGTTTGTTCCATATGACAATTGCGAATTTATTCTCAATTCGGAAACCAATTATCGCCCGAATGTATGTGTGCTTGAAGTTGTTTTACGGACTTCAGAAAATTTGGTGGTGCACTGAATGATTGTCAAATTTGTTATACATCTCGTACTCTCCACTGAATGCTGACTGTTGTTTCCTTATGACAAATGCGAACATATTCGCACTTTGGATGCCATACATTTATGATAAGACAGTTCATGTCTACAAATTTGCCAAAATTATTACCTTTTGCATTGTCAACATAAATTTGTTCATAACTGCGAGTTCGGAAAAATGATCATCAATTGTGCTATCGCCAGAATGTATGTGTGCTTGACCTTGTTCGTCGCTGAAGGTTCGATATGAGGCGTTCGCCAAAATGGATGATGGGCCAAAATTATTACCTTCAGTGTTGTCACTGAAAGACTGATCATTTATGCAAGTTCGCAAAAAAATGACATTTTATTTAAAGGTCTTCTGTCTTATCGAAAACATGGATAAATCGCGAAAAAGATTGTCATTTCAGTTATGACTTGCCGAATGAGAAATTGACTCCTCCATCTTGGCAAGTTCGGCGTACAACAAGTGCTTCCTTCTAATTTTTCATATTTTTCCTTGAACGATCACTAGCAAATCAACGAAGCCTAAAATTTTCGGAATTTTCTGTGAGTTTTTCTAAGCGCGTTGGCATTGTCAAATTGCGAGGCTAGGCCCGACTTCCCACCATTTGCGGTTGACTCTGAAAGACTTTCCAACAACTACTAACCTGCGGGACCTGAAGTTCTGTTCTGTTTGTGGAGTGCAAAACTCTGCTTGAAACAGATCCAGGTCCAACAGGAAGGTCAACCACAGACCAACCGAACTAGCCCCAGCGGCGGACTTCAGCTTCAAGGACTGCCCAAAAACTGATAACCTGCGGGAAACAAATCCACACCCATCCCTAACAGTGCTAATGGCAATCCGCGTAGAGAGCCAACGACTCTTTGACACTTTTTGAAGGTGCTCAGTCACCAAACAGATCACGACAAAACTTCAACCTCGCATCAAGGTTTTTTTAGAGTGCTTTTGGCAATCCGCACAGAGAGCCAATGACTGTTTGGCGCTTCCTTAAGGTGCTCTGTCGAATACCGATAACTGCGATTAGATTCGCTGTTCAACTAGTATCTGTCAATGTCTTTCCTGGTTAAAGCAATGAACTCTCTCTCTCTCTCTCTCTCTCTCTCTCTCTCTCTCTCTCTCTCTCTCTCTCTCTCTCTCTCTCTCTCCCCCTCCGGAACTCATAGGGGAGGGTTGTTTCCTGTTGTCGGAGGGAATGGTGGCTTAAAGCACTTCCTCACTTTTTTCGACACCTCACAGTGCGAAAGGATGATTGCGAATTAATTCATAGTTTAAGATTCCCTCCTCTATCTTAACTGAAAGGAATTTACGACTCACTTAGAACGCCTCCTCACCTCTTACGACTTCCGCTTTTAAATTCAGAAGCAACCTTTGTCGCACCTTCACAATAACGGTGACACATCCATTATTGGACCATCAAAGCATCTGTAGACGTGGTCGCTTTTAGTCTTTCGCGATTTCCAACGCCTTAACATGTCGGTAAAAGGGGTGCACGACACCTTAACGTATAGGTATGAGGGTTGCAAAAACTTTTAATGTGCAGTCGTCGTCGTCGCTGTTGCGATTCTCGATGCCCAAACCTTTTTGCTAAAAGGGGTCGACAATGGGTATGTCATGAATGAGCGAATCTAGTTGCAATCTCGTATAATACGGTGATGACCATTAATAACCGTTGGCGTCTTTAGCGTGAGTTTTCACTCGCCTTTATGTTGCATCGGACGCTAGACTTTGAAAATATGTAACACCTTACCCCTGCGCATTAATTTCATTTCGCGCTCAACTGCCGTATTGACGGATAAAGATGCAGTGCCACCAGAATTGCTAGATGTCACATACACATAACACATTCACAAGAACAGTCTGAATTTATCAAAGAAAAACATAGGTCATTGACCTTTCAAACAATATAGATGAAATGAACATGAAAATGAATAAGGCTCATAGCCTTAGCAATATTCCTAATCTTCCTAACAATCAGGGAAAACACAAGGTCGGGTACTCAAACCAAGTGTAGAAATCGCGCATAGACAAGATGTCTGGATCAAGGTCCAGGATAACATAAGTATCAGTGTGTTGCCGTGAATAGCATGTGGCTGGTCATATTACTGACCTGCAGACAAGAGTCAATCACATTACACAATCTTAGCAGAGTCAACCATTCATTCACTTTCACACACATCACACTTACGCTTCCAATCCTTTTAACCAAACATTCCTCTTTCGACTTAGTCATTGAAGGACCTCTTTTGACCAAACAGAGACCCTTTAAACAAATGACCCGAAACAGAAATGCCATTTAGTGCAAAGGTTGATGCAAAGTGTGGGTGTAGAAGGTGAGTGAGGATTGAGTTGGATAACCAACCTGTTACCATATGGCAACAACATGTAGTCTTGCATTGACTCATAATGAGTCTTCTTGATTAAGATGACTTGCAAATACACACAAGTCACAAGATCTCAACACCTCCCTCACTATCGCCCCACACGAAGTTCAGCGATGTGAACTTCAGTTCTATCAGTGGACTATAATATAGTCCGATCAAATGTAAGTATGAAATAAGAAGACCCCGACAGAAACCTTTATCTCATACTTACTCAAGCAGTAGGATAACTCAGACATGAGTATCCCACCATCTGTTTTAGTCTAACTGGTTTAGACTTAGACAGACCATGGGATGACCCGCACAGGAGTACCCCATATCTAATCTGTCAGCCTAACTATCTAAGATATGTATGCATGTAGAGACAAGTAAT